GAAAGAGAGAGAGATCCCTTAGGAACAGTCTCTGGCCGGGCACACTGAGGCAGCAGCCATGGCTGTCGGGCAGGAGGGATGGCCTTTTACATTAAACCTCACACCCCTCACATCTTATTCCTCAGCCTAGATCTATGGGAAGCATTGACACAGTAACTCCTTTTGTTAGCTCCGTGGGGCATCACCATGGCCAAGCAAACCCTGAAGTCAAATCAGGGAGGGAGAGAGGGATTAAAATGAGGGGTAGGGGAGAAACAGGGGAAGGGAAGTGGGGATGACAAATCCTCTGACCTGGCGAGGCTGTCTCAGAGCCAGAGGAGAATTTCTTTATCTCCCGTGTTTCCAGGTGAGTCATGACCACTGTGGGAGAAAACATTAAAAGTTTCTCTTGAAAGTGAGAGCTGGACCGAAGCCTAATTTGCTTGCTTTTTCCTGAAAATTCTGCTTAGACAATCTGGAGGAAAGGTTAAATAAAGTGCCCTCTAGGGACCAGACAGAATGGCAGTCCAGTGGAGCTCTTGCTTGGTTCATTGTCAGGGGCTCTGCCTGATAACTTTGATTCGTTTGTGGGAAATCTGAAGATGCCACCGTGGTGTTCACGGAGTAACGAAAGCTCGTTCGGTGAGCTGTGGGCGCTGTGTGGACCATTAGCTGCCTCGGGGTGAGGGGTGGTATGTTGCTCTCCCTCGCTCCATTGCTGAGGCCCACCCTGCTCTTTCAGATACACCAGACGTACATGTGGATGCAACTCAGGAAAGAAACTGGACAGGGGTGATGATAACAAAGGGAATTGACAGAGGGTTAATATGGTGGCCACACATTACCAGCACCTTCGCTGAGAACTCTGAAAAAGCCTATTATTGAGACCTTTCGGTATAAATAGACTGGGTTGTTTCGCAGAGGAGAACACGCACAGTTAACTTTCCTTCGTGTGTGTATGTGGTGCGCTCAGACTGCACCCACATCACAAGAAGACGTGGCAACAGCATGCGTGGGGACTCAGTCAACACTGGGATTTTTTTTTCAACTTTTTATTCTGAAATAATTTTAGTTTTACAGAAAAGTTGCAAAAATAACAGAAAGTTCCTGAGAGTATACCCATAACCTAATTTTTCCTAATGTTAACATTTTATAAAATCATAGTACAACTACCAAAAGCAAGAGATTAATGTTGGGACAATAATATTAACTAAACTACAGGCCTAATTTGAATTTCACAGCTTCCTGTTAGTGCCTTTTTGTGCTGGGGTCAAATCTAAGATCCCTGCTGCATTGACATCTGTAGTCTCCAGTTAATGTCAGGGGACACATGATGTCCTGTCTTATTGTTAACCATGATCACTTAGTTTCAGTTTTATCTGATACGTTTCTCTGCTATAAAATTACTACTTTAAAAAAAATTACTACTTTTCCCTCTGGGATTAAAAAATAATTGTATGTTTGGTGGGAATGTAAATTGATACAACCACTATGGAGAACAGTATGGAGGTTCCTTAAAAAACTAAAAATAGAACCATCATACGGCCCAGCAATCCCACTACTGGGCATATATATACCCTGAGAAAACCGTAATTCAAAGAATCATGTACCACAGGGTTCATTGCAGCACTATTTACAATAGCCAAGACATGGAAGCAACCTAAGTGTCCATCAGCAGATGGATGGATAAAGAAAATGTGGCACATATATACAGTGGAATATTACTTGGCCGTAAAAAGAAACGAAATTGAGTTATTTGTATGAGGTGGGTGGACCTAGAGTCTGTCATACAGAGTGAAGTCAGAAAGAAAAACAAATACCGTATGCTAACATATATGGAATCTAAAAAAAAAAAGGAAATGGTTCTGATGAACCTAGGGATAGGACAGGAATAAAGACGCATAGAGAATGGACTTGAGGACATGGGGAGGGGGAAGGGTAAGCTGGGACGAAGTGAGAGAGTAACATGGACATATATACACCACCAAATGTAAAATAGATAGCTAGTGGGAAGCAGCCGCATAGCACAGGGAGATCAGCTCGGTGCTTTGTGACCACCTAGAGCGGTGGGATAGGGAGCGTGGGAGGGAGACGCAAGAGGGAAGAGAAATGGGGATATATTTATACATATAGCTGATTCACTTTGTTCTACCACAGAAACTAACACACCATGCATTGTAAAGCAATTATACTCCAATAAAGATGTTTAAAAAAAAAAATCCCAGTGGGGGAGCCCCTTTGAGACTATGCAAATATCTTGTTTCTCCTCAAACTTTTGCCCATTGATTTTTCCCATCTATGCAAGGATTTTGCCAGGAGTCAAGGTATTTTGAACTAAGCAGGAATATTCCTATATGGATGACATGATGATCAAAGCATATTCTGTCCCAAATAGAGATTTAGAGTGTTTCCTATAGACTGAGGCAGTCAGCCACTAGCATGGAGGGATGATGATATAATACACAGATGGAGCACAGCATTGCTAAATCGGTGGGACGCTGACCCAATACAAGTTGACTGCCACGTACCCTTAACTGAGAAGGACTTTTTATTAGCTCTGCTAATGACCATGGTGGCACGTGTTCTGAGGACAATAGCTAGATATCCTGGAGCCCCAGACCAAAGAAACCTGAGCGGGCAACACTTTATTTTTGTTCCTTTTGTGGTTTCATCTTTCTTTCAATTCAGCTAAGTGCCGTGGATTAGGAGTACGTCTTCCCGGCTTTGTAATGGTGGGGCTGGCATGTAAAAGACTTGCGCTTTCTCCACCCAGTGGAAAGCAGGCAGCCGGTCCTAAGCACAGCTCAGAACCAATGCTGGTAAAAATCTCGTTCTGCTGTGCATAGAGTATGTTGAAATCTCAAACTCAGTGGGACCCTGATTTCCTGAGCAGCCACTTTAAACAACTGTCTGTTATTGGATATATTTGGGGAGGGGACATTTTTCAGTAGAAAATAAGAAGGGTTAGGGTTAGAACGCTGTTACCAATAGAAGTTTGATGTCCAAAACATTGCTTCAGTATCTCACCTACTGCTAGTTTGTGTAATAAAGGATTTATTGGTAGGTTGAAGAAATGGAGAACAAGGCTCATTTTGTTGAAGACTCAGAGGATGAGATAATGTGCAAAACTGATTCAAAAGTTCAGTTGATGTAATGTCCAGGGCAACTGATCAATCTGAAAAAGAAAGATTTGCTTAGGAAAGTCAACAACACAGTTAAATGCATCTGTTGATCCTTACTAAAAAGTATAAGTAGTAACAAAGGGGAGAAATCCAATAAAATTAAGAATTACCAGGAAATGTGTGAAGTGAGATCACGATTGTGACAACCTTAGGTAAAGATGCCCCACTGCATATGACAGACCGTGTCAGCCAGATTTGGAAAACAGTTTGACACTTTCTTACAGAGTTAAACATTTACTTACCTGGTATGAAAAAGGAAAACATATACCAGTATTTATAAGCAGTGTTGTTCAAACTGTTCACATAGTGCCAAACTGTAAAACCCATTCACATTTATTCTTAGTAGTGAAAGAATAAAAGCCCACCCAGGACTTGAAAGAATGAAAATCAGAAAAACAGAAGAAAAGCAGTCCTGCCAATTATCAGGTTGGGAGGAGAGATGCAAATAGAGCCAGGTACAGGGTTTATGGGGAATGTTGCTCTCCCAAGGTCGTGGGACGCTGGGAAACTGTAGCCTACTGCTGTCTCCTCATTGCTGCCCCCAGACCCACTTTGCACTACTCATCCTTTACTGGGGGTACTCAGGTTGCTAAATGACCCTGGTCTTCCAGTTCAATCCCCACTTCTCCTAATCCTGCCTCAGAAATGGCATCAGATTCAGAACTGATCTCTGCCTCTAGAAGACTCTTCTCAGAACCTTCAGAATCCCTCTCTCCCTTGTCCCAGCTCCTCATAGCGCCTCCTCGCCCGTCAGTCTGATTTCTACAGACTTCACACCTGCTCCTGGCCAGTTTAGCTAATTAGGCTTTAACAGCAGCCCCAAGACAGGGAACAGTGTGCATCAATACCTGAATGAACAAGCAATGGGATACAACTCGGTAGTAAGAAAGAACGGACCACTGATATATATACAACAACACAGATCAATTGGATCAGTCTTAAGCCTTACGATGAATAAAAGAAGCAAAAGTGCATGCTGTATTTTTCCATTTATAGGACTCACGAAGCAGCAGAACTAATCTATAGCAATAGAAATCTGATCAGCGGCTGTCTGGGACCCGGATTGTGCAGTGAGATCAACTGCAGTCAGCTTGAGGGAAATTGCTTGGGAGAGGGTTGGAGTGGTGCTTAGTGTTGAAAGTGATCAGCTCACATGATTAAAATGTGTTAATTTTATTGTATGTGTATTATGCCTTAATGCAGTTCAGCAAGAGAGTCTGAACTGCCAGGGTGTTAACCTAGTGTTCAGGTGGGTTTCACATAATGGAGTTAGACCTGGAGTATAACCTCAGATCTGCCTTTTTATAACACTGCTCTCTGGGTGGTTTTGGATTGCTGTAAATGTGGAAAATAATTGGTCCTTCCTGTACTAAGAGAATTGTCCCTCTTATCAGCATAATTTATCATCAACCCCCTGATTGTTGGGTTAACAGCACACAGAGAGGGATGTGACAGTGCATATATTCCCAGAGGGCTACATGTCAAGCTCCAAGTAGAAGAATAGGTTAGGAATGGGGGGTGGGGGGGGGGAAGAAGCTTCCTTGGGTCTGAAGTAGCCCAGCCCGCATCATCTTTGCGTTTTTCACATGTGCCCCATGGGATGGAGGGGCACAGAGCCGCACCTGAGATGCTGCCTGGCCTTGTGCAGTGGCTGCTTGCCTGAGCTCATTCTTGCCTGTTTTGTGCTGGATCAAGCTGAGTAAACTGGCGTTGGCAACCTATTGTAGTCTTTCAATCTTGTCCACTCTGAACCCAGGACCCCCTGCTATTGAGCTAGTGGTTGTGCGACATGCTGTGTGTTTAATTATTAGAAACACACATTCCGTTCTCTTGTATAAAGTTATAACTTATTTTCTTTTCTCAGTTAAGCCTTCAGGTACAAGATGTTACATTGATGGATCAGAAGAAATTGGAAGTGACTTTAAACTAAAATGTGAACCGAAAGAAGGTTCACTCCCATTACGTTATGAATGGCAAAAATTGTCCAACTCACAGAAACTGCCCACCTCGTGGTTACCAGGTACTGCTGACTATGCACTTTGAATCGTGTGCCATTGATTTGGACTTAAGTCTAGTAGGGTTTGTGCGTGTAAGTGTATACTTTTTAATCACCAGATACCTTCCCTTTTCTAGACAGAGCAATCAGGATTCTGTGAGAATTAGTCAGTGTTTTATAATGACAACTTGGTGTCATGTCGTATAAGTGAAGAGATATTTTTATAATGATCACCATTAGGATATTATAATTGGTTTCTTCGTTGTATTTTTTTTTTCCCTTTTTTTTTTTGCGGTATGCGGGCCTCTCACTGCTGTGGCCTCTCCCGCCACGGAGCACGGGCTCCAGACGCGCAGGCCCAGCGGCCATGGCCCTCGGGCCCAGCCTCTCCAAGGCATGTGGTATCCTCCCGGACGGGGGCACGAACCCGTGTCCCCTGCACCGGCAGGCAGACTCTCAACCACTGCGCCACCAGGGAAGCCCTGTTGTATATTTTTTAATTGATGGTAATATTGATGGAAACTGTTCATTATCATAAATTAATGGTTAAGTTACAGCAAGAGTTGGATCTTGAGTGTTTTGCCTGGATTCATGTTGAAGATATGGTTATTCATGGCATGTCTGTTAAAACAACAAAACAACAGCTGTGACTAACCAAAGAGATTCAAATTGGTTAAATCTGATTACTCATCTGTATGTTATAATTAACCTGTTATTCAAACTGGTTACCATGCTCCACCCTCCTCCCTCCCACCCCACCCCGCTTTTAAGCAGGATCTCTCTCCACCTCTGTTTTTCAAACTAAGAGGCTGAACAATACGACCCCCTCTAACTTTCTTTTATGTTTCTTCTGTCTGGGGGGATGAAATACATTTTGTAAATCTTACTGCTGCACCTAAGAGCCTTTGTGGCACAGAATGTTTTTTGTAGTCAACGTGGCTCTGCTTCAGCAGAGACTCTGTGCCTGGCTGGAAGGGGTCATGATTACCTTGGCTTTGACATAAATGAACTAGAGGCACAGTCATTTGCATCCCGGAGACATGCACGTGTCTTGCCAAGTTTGTTCTGTATGTAGCTTCAGTTTGTCTCACTTTTACCTGGATTGTCAACCAAGTAGAGTTTGCCTTTACTAAAAACTCAGCAATATGTTACTATAAAAATGGGTTTTGCTCCCTTACCCCCTTTCTTCTCATAGAAATGACTTCACCTGTTATATCTGTAAAAAATGCCACTACTGAATACTCTGGGACATACAGTTGTACAGTCAAAAACAGAGTGGGCTCTGATCAATGCCTGCTACGCCTGGATGTTGTTCCTCGTAAGTTATCTTCTTTCTGCTGTGATAGTGTTATCTTTATACAGCCTCCTTTGGTTCCATCAGTGAGAGTGGGTATTAAGGGCAAGGGGATGCTAACTTTGAGCAAAGCACTCTGTGGCTTGGTTGCTAGCTTTTCTAAGTCATGGAAAGAAAAAAAGTACTACATTTTATTAATAAAATCTTCTTTATTATTGTAGTGACATTAAAGAGGCAAGAGTTGTCAAATTGACTCTTGTACCATATTTAGCCAATGTCGGTGACGACAAGCTTTTTAGAACATTCTTATATGCCAACCAAGATAGCTGTGAATACTAAAATCTTTTAGAGTGGTTTCATTCTTTTATCCTTGAAATAGCTTACACAGTTCAGAAGAAAGTTCTTTTAGTCGATTTTCCCCTAGACCAGAAAAAAAGCTAACTAATTTGTCTCTTAACATTAGTATATGCTATGAAATCAGTGTCATTGTGTATCTTTACCTTCAAAATGACCAGATGGAAGTTTTTTTGTTTGTTTGTTTTGCTTTTTTTAATATTAATTATTTTCTTATTAACATTTTATTCTAGCTTCAAATAGAGCTGGGACAATTGCAGGAGCTGTTATAGGAATTTTGCTTGCACTAGTGCTCATTGGTCTTATCATCTTTTGCTGTCATAAAAAGCGCAGAGAAGAAAAATACGAAAAGGAAGTTCATCATGATATCAGGTAATTAAGTGACACAGGAGTTGACTGATGTATACTCAATTTATTATGTCACTAAAGCATTAATTCTCTTAACCATCTGAAGCATTTGCCCCTATGAGAATTGGATGAAAGCTACAGCTCTTCCCCTCAACATATTTGAAAGCTTTTACTTATTTCAAGTGTGTGGAGCCAACCAACCTACATTGTGCCCTCCCCCGTTTTGTGCTCTACGTTAAGAACCACTGCAAAATGCTTTTCTCAAGACTGTCTACCTTCTCCCAATAAAGTACAGGCATGAAACAGCAAAGGAAACCATAAACAAGATGAAAAGACAGCCCTCAGTATGGGAGAAAATATTTGCAAATGAAGCAACTGACAGAAGATTAATCTCCAAAATATACAAACAGCTCATGCAGCTCAATATCAAAAAAACAAACAGCCCAATCCAGAAATAGGTGGAAGACCTAAATAGACATTTCTCCAAAGAAGACATACAGATGGCCAAGAAACACATGAAAAGATGCTCAACATCACTCATTATTAGAGAAATGCAAATCAAAACCACAATGAGGTATCACCTCACACTGGTCAGAATGGCCATCATCAAAAAAATCTATAGACAATAAATGCTGGAGAGGGTGTGGAGAAAAGGGAACCCTCTTGCACTGCTGGTGGGAATGTAAATTGATATAGCCACTATGGAGAACAGTATGGAGGTCCCTTAAAAAACTAAAAATAGAACTACCTTATGACCCAGCAATCCCACTACTGGGCATATACCCTGAGAAAACCATAATTCAAAAAGAGTCATGTACCAAAATATTAATTGCAGCTCTCTTTACAATAGCCAGGACATGGAAGCAACCTAAGTGTCCATCAACAGATGGATGGATAAGGAAGATGTGGCACATGTATACAATGGAATATTACTCAGCCATAAAAAGAAATGAAATTGAGTTATTTGTAGTGAGGTGGATGGACCTAGAGTCTGTCATATAGAGTGAAGTAAGTCAGAAAGAGAAAAACAAATACTGTATGCTAACACATATATGTGGAACAACAACAACAACAACAACAAAAGGTTCTGATGAACCTAGGGGCAGGACAGGAATAAAGACGCAGATGTAGAGAATGGACTTGAGGACATTGAGGGGGAAGGGTAAGCAAAAAAATAAAAATAAATAACAATCTCATGCTCTGTCGATTAGCTGTATAGAGAAATCAAACCTTAACATCTCCATTTTCTTTTTTTTTTTTTCGTGGTACGCGGGCCCCTCACTGTTGCGGCCTCTCCCGTTGCGGAGCACAGGCTCGGGACGCGCAGGCTCAGCGGCCATGGCTCA